CCTTGCCTGGTGTAACACAGTAAATAAATGGTGAGTTATCTCGTGACACATAAATTCTGCTGAATAAGGGGAATTAAGTATTGGGAGTTTGAGAGGAATAAATCAAAATGGGTTGGAGTATTTAAGGACATTTTAATTCAGTTTTGGGTATTGAATTGTACCTGGCAGAATATCAAGATCTATAATTATAGAATTGTTGTAATTCTAAATATTAACTTTAGTAATGTACACTGCTGTCTTACTCTAGGCTGGGGGATTGTGCTAGGTATATTTATATATTAAAATTAACAAACAAAATACTTGATGACTAAAACCCCCAGTCATTACAGATAAACATGCTTGTTTTCTTCTTACATAAAAGAAGACTTTGAAAGGTGAAGAGGCAGATTAGCTCAGGACCCCAGAATTCAAGGAACAACATGGTGTTGAGTCAGTTCTTTGTGTTTCTTTTTTGCCCCTTATATTCCAAACAGAAGCTGAAGAAGCTGGTAGCCCAGAAATGCCAAAAGGACAACAAAAAGCCTGAACAAAAGGTTGTTCCAGAAAGGAAACATAAGATTTTTAGACAGTAACCACTCTGCTCCAACTAAACATGACAGATCAAACTGTGGCCCCACCCACACCCATACCACAAAAGGCAAAGTGGGGATCCTAGACCCTCCTGCTTCAGAAGCTATTGTAAGGCGCTCCCAGACCTCTACCAGGGAGTTGGCAGAGAAGGTTGAGTGGGGACCCAGGACTCTTCATCTCCACTGGATGATAGCAAGGTCCTCCTGCCACCTGTGGTGTCAGTGGAGACCCAGAGGTGAATTTGGACTTCTGTCTGCACAAATATCTGTAATGAAGCAATGCCTGGCTCTCCTCTGGGGTCTTGTTAGAGGGTCAAAGGAGGCTTAATGAAGTCATGACTTTCACCACTGCCCATGGGAACCAAGGATACCACCTGCCTCTCATCATGGTGTCAGTGGAAGCCTTGAGAGTAGTAAAGAGGAATTCCTACATCGCTCAGCCAGAGAGATGCCAGGAGAGGCCCAGAGGAAGCCAAGACTCCAACCCCAATTGAGAGTAATGCCTAGCCTTTCTCTTGGGTGTCAGGGGAAGCCACAGTCAGGTACTGTGTGATTCCACTTACATAATGGAAGTCCAAAGTTATAGAAATGGATTACAAATTACTAGTTACCAAGGGTTAAGAGAGAGATGTGAGTATGGCTATAAAAAGGCAACCAGAGGAACTTTTGCCATAATGGGAATCCAGTATTTTGTGTCTTGAGTGTATCAATGACCGTATCTCATCTGATACTGTATTAGAGGTTTTCAAGATGTCACCATTGGGGGAAACTCCAAAGGTTACACCAGATCTCTCTGTATTACTTCTTACATATCAATTTATAATTATCTAAAACATTTTAAATCATTAAGAAAATCTTGATGAAGCATAGCTATTATACTTAGAAAGCCATGGTATTGAGGTAACATACAGTATTTTTTTTTGAGACGGGGTTTTACTTTGTTGCCCAGGCTGGAGTACAGTGGTATAACCACAGCTCACTGCAGCCTTAATCTCCCAGACTCAAGCAATCCTCTTGCCTTAGCCTTCTGAGCAGCTGGGGCTGCAGGCATGTGTCATAACACCCAGCTGATTTTTAAATTTTTATTTTTAGAAGAGACCAGGTCTCGCTATGTTGCTCAGGCTAGTCCTGAACTCCTGAGCTCAAGCAATCCTCCCACCTCAGCTGAACAAAGGGTTGGGATTACAGGAATGAGCCACCATACCCGCCCTACATGCAGTACTTTGGTTAGGAGATTATGACATAGAGTTAGCTCTGCAGAGGAGTAGACGCATATACTCTAAATTTTAAGTACACAGGAAAGTGATTATTGCTCTGTGGTTTTTCTCAAGCCAACTAACATTTTTAAAATTCTAACAAAGTGGTTTGAAATCTCAACTATTAGTTTAGTGCATGAAATAAGATTGCCAAAAGCCTAGAACATTCAAAACCACTAATTTGTGCTCTCATCCCTAAGAAAACATTTATATAGAAAGCAAATTGTCATGAAAGCTTTGTATAGTAAACATGTATTCAGTCCATGAAAGAATGGATGTCGAATGGCTTTCGCTACAATAGCTTAAGGCCCATAAGGCACTGGGGATGTCCTCTTTAGAGTTTTTGCAAAAACCATTCACCACTTTCTCCTCCCTGTTTCCCTTTCACTTTTCAATACCACATTCTAGTGACATGTTAATACCACGCACTGTTGATGTCTTTCTGCTCTCATGCTTTCCCAGGGCTATACAGGTATTGATCGACTTACGAGCCTTCGACTTTACAACCACAATCGCCAGCCACGACTGCTCCGTGCCTGGCAGCACAAACTTTGCCCAGCTGGGCGTACAACAGTGCGGACCAGCTTCTGGCATCACTACCATCTCCGCGTGCACCATTTCAACTGTTATTCCAGACTTGATACAGCAATTTGTGTTTTGTGTGTTGGATATTTTTCATAAAGCTCCTCCCAATAAACTTCTTATACATTTTGAAGCAGTGGACCCAAACATCGAACAATTTGCAAGGATTGAACGGATGGCGCACAATGTGTTTCATCCGTATCATGAAATTTATGAAGAAAAAAAGAAACATACAATTCAGACAAAGCTCACCATGTTTATGAAAAAACCAACTCCGGTAACCCCAACTGCTGCCTCAGATGACGACGTCAACGATCCGCAGCCAAGCACCAGCGGCCAATAAAATGTTTCGTACATGTTTATATATTTTGATATGTTTTGCAATTGGGAAAATGTTTCCTATGGTATTTTTTACACCCGTATTTTGTATTTTTGTATGCACCTGTATTTTGTAATTTTGTATGTTTTGCAAATATTAAACCAGTTGTACTGGTAATGCAGTGTTTTACTTAAACCTGACGAATGTAAAAATAAGAAACAAAATGATGTAGAGATGATACAAATGGCATAAAATGAACAAAGAAAATTATGATATATAATAATGAAAGAAAATTATAATAAAATATGACTTAAAGATTTTTATAACATCATTTCACAGTACTGTACATATAGCCTACTCAACTTACGACCAAATTGTGTTACGACCGGTCTGTCAGAACCAATCGTGGTCGTAAATTGAGCACTAGCTGTAGTATAGGCAGGAAAGAGAAGGGACCAAGCTTTGTTGAGCACCTAGAGATCTAGTCTCCGAGGAATCAAGTCACTTAATACCCACAAAAATCATCTAGTAAGTATATTACTATTTTACGTGTGAGTATTTAGAAAGATTTAGGGTGTTTCTTGCAAACTATCAGTTAATTATTATGTGGGTCTGGGTTTTGCTACTTTCTTATTAGATTCTCAGAGAGTTAATTCATCTCCAAGTTCTGGGGGTGTTGCCCTGCTGTTACCTAACATGAACTGATCACATTAATAGCATCATACAACGTAATTTAGAAGACTGAAATTTAATATGTTATATTTAATTGTTAACAATTAAATTCTTGTAAGTGGTAGAATTAGATTTAGGTTTTCTGCCTCTAAATCTAGCACTCTTCTTTTCTCTGATGATTTCTAAAACTTTAACAAGTAGACATGATGCAACAGAAAAACATTTTTTCCTTTTATTTTCATCATTTCTGACATGTAGCTAGAAACGATCTGACATGAGCTATCCTTCTGCCACACTAATGTTTGACCACTGTCTTGATTTTCCCTGCAAGTATTCTGCATTTTGCTGTGTCCAATGTGTTCTAGAAAAGATAGGGTTGTGGTAGCTACTTACAATTTTGAAGAAAAAGAGATTGAGAAATGATTTGGATTATGTGATTTTGGCCTGGTCTAAAACCAATAGGAGAAGAATCATCCTGTAATCCTGTCAATACATTTTCTCTTTGGTGAATATTTTTGTAATATATCAAGACTCAGAAGGCCTGAAATTCTACAACTGGCCTATAAAATATAAAGAATTAGGACAACTGTTTTGTTCAATCGAGGCCGTCACTGCAATACCTATGGGAATTTCCTAATTGATATGTGTTCAAAGTAGTCTGGAATTGAGAAAAAGAAAACAGCAGCTATTTTTGAAATAATGAGAAACTTGCTTGGCTATTATACACTAACTGAAACCTGTGTCACTGCCTAGAGTATTGTAATTCCCCCATGAACAAAATTGGCCCAAATAATTATCCAATGCTTAAGGCAACATAAATAAGAGTTCTTGCACTTCTAAGTTTCCAGTTAGTAAAAGATGTGCAGGGAAGGGAGAGAAAGAGGAAAAACACATTTGGCAGTGATCAGCTTAACAAAAAATAAATAAATAAATTCACGTTCAACCTCGCTTTTTAGAAAAATAGTGAAGTCGTTAAAGTTTCTGAAACTCTTTAAATCCCACTCAACAACTCTCCTTTCCACATCCAAATGACTAGTAGATACTTTTTCTTCATCCCTTGTTTTATTTATTTTGCATTCAGAGGGTTGTAAACTAAAGGACACTATTAACCATCGATTAAGGTATTGCCCAGTTAAGGTAACTGCCACCTCAGAAGAACTGCATATAAACTAGTATTCTTGAAAGCTTTAAAGACTTAAATGAGAACTCTACTGGTACATATGGAGTCATTTCTTTAGATGGAAACTAGACTGTGCATAGTGAGGGTTGATCTTGTCAACCATATGGGGGTGGTAACTTGTCACCACACAGGGAGTGGGTAGTTCAATGACAGGCATTCAGAACTTTTAACCTTAGATAAAGCTATCATGATTGGATGTGAACTTTCATCCTGGTTTAATATGGTAACATCTTTTGTTTAACTTTCTTGGATTTACCACCTTAGAAGGAAAGAACACGTTTGTTCTCACTCCTGTTATCTTTTGGCAATGGGCCATGTATAATGTGGAAGAAAAGGGGATCAGTTTTCCATTCACTGATTATTTGAGTGTCACTTTTAGGGAGCACCAGAGTTTAACTATAAAAGGAAAAGATGAACTTTATAGTTGGAAGTTCGGTACGAAGAGAAGGAATGAAAGAAGAAAGAATGGCAGGAATGTAAGAGGATGGAGGAATGTGACACTGGGGTCACCAGGTAGGGCCCAGAAAGCAGGCTGCTGGTACCAGTCCAACAGAAAGTAGTCTATCCTTCTGTAAGACAGGTGAGTGGACCTGAAAGACACTGTTTGAATATTCAGGAGCCCTATAAGAGGGAATTTTCTGCCAGTTGACTGGGAAGCTTCAATACAAAAGAGAAACTCCGATATTCAGTAGACGGAGTTGCCACCAGTCGATACTTGCCCCAATGCAGATGATAACTTTGCCTCATCTGAACCAGCTCCTCATCTGTTATCCATCCCATAGGAGGAATGCTTAGCTGGATCCCATGGCTATTCCTAGGCTCCATCTGACCACAGTTCATGTTACATATGAAGATGCTTGTTAATGCACAGAAAGATTGCTCTTCAGGTAACAGGTGGAAGGTGGTATTAATATATCAGGCTCGTCACCTTTCATTTACTTAGCAGATATGTTAGGAAAATTTCCATGCGCCAAGCACCCGGATATATTCTTGGTGATAGATGAAGCACTGTGTGTTCCTACCTCAAACACTGTTTAACTGGGAGGAATAATTACAGCTTTTATGTTTGGTGCCAAAATGGAAATTAGGGCAAAGGGTCACCAAAGGTTTCCCCCAAAGCACAGCAGAGGGAAGGGGATCCATTGTTCTTGGGAAGAGGGAAAGGGGAAATCATAGATCACACATGTCTGAACTAGGTCTAGAGGGATAAAATAGTGCATTAGGCAGAAAAAAACAGCAGTAATTTAAGACAGAATGGGACGTATTTTCAAATCTCAGTGGCATGAACGTGCTTAGGAAATTGGAGAGTCTGGCTGAACACAAGAGATGGGAGAAGAGAGCAGAAGTTGGGTGTGGAAAGGGAAGCAGGGGCTAGATTAAGAAAGGTTTTTGGAATGTATCTTATGGACACGAAGGAGCTATCAAAACAGTTTAGGAAGAAAAATGTCATGATGAGAATTGTGTTTTAGTGGTATGAAGCTGGTGTTCATGTGCTGGATGACTTAGTGGACAGATTACACTCAGAAAGCATATCAGATGTTTCTCCTAGGAGAGTCTGGAAGAGGAAAAGTAGGTGTGCAGACAAAATGAAAGAAAAGCCAAGGTCTAGATAAAGATGAGGAGTGAAGTGTGTCATGCAGTCCAGAGAAAAGAGGCAAAATAAATGCGGTGATGATATAAATGCATTTAAAAAATAGGCCGATTGATAGGAAAACTAGAGAAGAGTTACCTTTTTGGGGATATAATTCCAGTGGAATATTAAGGTGAAATTTGTCTCATGTCTTCCAACCCCATATCCACTTTCACTGCCCTTCTTTACTTGCTTCAAGGCTCAAAAAGCTGACCTGCATATTTCTTCAATGTTTTCACTTATTGTCTGGCTTTTATTGGGTTTTTCCAAAGAGGAATAACAAGAAGATTAGAAGGAGAAAGAAGATAAAAGTTAGGATCTCTATTTCCCAGCTTCCCCCAGTAGGGTCACTTTGGGCTGGCATGGTCCTGGAATCACTATGCTTCTAAGGTGTCCTGTCTATGCCTTTCTCTTTCTGGGTTCCAGTAAGGACTTCATCTTCTTATCTTCTTGGGCCTGGTGGTGGCTCTCACGGTTCCTGTAATACTAACCTTGGGTTATTACACCATCTCTTGCAAATATTATCTTTGTAAATAATATTTTCTTAAACCATTCTAACTTGACATGCATGTTCTTCTTATTGGGACTCAGGCAGATAGGGTGGAAGCAGTGATTTTAGGAGTTAATTTAATATGACACAGTAGAGACAACACACAGAAGCCACTCATGGAAGATATTTAGCTATGTAAAGACACAGGTTGTAAGTTAAATTGTGGCCATAACTGAAAATAAATATATTTCAGATGGAGAGAGATGACTATTTTTATATATTGAGTCAAGGATATTTCCTTCTATTTTTTTTTAAGTTGGCAGGTTAATTAGAATAAAATCATCTATGTAGTATATCTCTCATATACCCTAAATGTTGGCAAATTGTCATCTTGAATTCTATTCTTTCTTAATTGCCACATATGGAAGGTAGAAAATGGGAGTCTCAATGCTTGTTTTGAACTTAGAACCCAGAGAATGAATCTAGTCTTACCAGCCTTAATTGCTAAGCAGAATGATAAAAGTCACTTTATAATCACTGCAAAACCATGGAATGGCAGGGAAGAAAGCTGCCGTGTGATTAAGTGGGGCAGAAACAGGAGTAGAGTTAATCTTAGTCAGAAGATTAGCCACAGAAGGGGAATGAACAGGAGAAGCAGGGATCAGTGGGCATGATAAGGGATAATAATTACAAATGTAGATCGACCACCACAGAGTTTTGACATCACTTAGTGACACTTCCATTTTAGAGGGTTGCTGCAGTGGGCAATTTATTGTATTTTGCCCCCCAAACAGCCTTTTGATTCAGGTACTTGCCTTCTTCAGAGAATGTACTCGATGAAGAGAGAGGCAATCAAGGCTACATAACATAATGTCTCAAGGCACTTAGAATACTTTTTTACCTAATGAACAGTGCAAGCAATAAGTGCTATATGTTCACATAGAGGGAAAGGATCACTGAATAACACACTTGTACAAATGACTTATCTATATATGCAAATCCATTGGACAATCCATTGAGTCTAAGAAGGAGGCACTGTCCTCATTTTGTACATAAAATTCATTGAAGTCTTACAGTCTCCATTGGGTTGAAGACTCCCACAGCCTGTAGTTAGACTCAGAAAACCGTGAACAGCTTTATGTTTTTTTTAAGCCCAACGAAACCCATTAATTACCCAAAAGCGCTAGATGTTGAGTACAATATCATGTAAAATATATTGAGTCCTGAAAGTCCATGGTGTTTTTTATTTTGCTGGTATTTCTAAAATGTTTCAAATAACTGTAATATACAAAGAAATAATCATAGGCTAGAGCTGGGAAGGTGTTAACAGAGTGATTACAAAATAAATGGTTTTTCTCAATATTAGTGATTTTATCCCCAATCCTCCAAAAGAAAAAAAAAAGCATAAAGCATCATAATGTGATAATTTTAACACATTACTTAGTACTGCTCCTCAATTTTTGATGACATCCCTGAAGCTCAGATATTTATTGCAAATGTTAGGGCAGAAATTCTGAATAGAAAGAAAGGCAACCTAAATGTAAATGGTATGAATTGCTCCACAGGCTTGACGGGATCTAGCACACTCAGATCTCTTATTTTTTCAAATAAACTGCTCAATCTCTCACGTGTTTAACAGCAAGAATTTCAGTGTCTAACCCCTTTTCTATTTTATTGTTTCAGAATCCTGGGGCGTTTTTCATTCTGTAGGAGTTCCTGCACCATTGAAACCAGGTTGCCACTGTTTCTCACTGCTATAGTGTGACAGCTGATGACTGGTAACTTACAGGCTGACGGTCAGGTCAGCCAACTCTTCTGATAGTGTTACTGCTTGTTGAGGTTCTGCAGAAGCCACAGTCATTTTTGAAAGAGAAGGATCCCTTATCCCACAGGGCAAGTGTCATCATTCCTTGGGTTCCCAGGATCACCGTTCTTAATAATTATTTATTTAAGTTTATATACCTAGCCCCAGGCTCAAAATATTGGATCAGTACTCATGCCTCTGGTATATTTTTTAAAAATCCCCACAAATCCATGGATTTTGTTATATTCCTTTCTATGAACAATTAGGTAGTATAGGATTTACTCAAACAAAACCTACCATTTAAGGGTGGCATCTCTCAATAATTCTGAGAAATATAGTAGATTATAACATAAAATGTAGCATTTCTCCAGCATGAAAAGAGGAGGAAAATAACAAAATATAAAAGAGACAAATAAAAATGGATTCTTTAGCAGTGTACCCTCTGGCAGGGCACCTAATCATATAATATTTTATAATTTCCATAATTGTAACAATTGCTTTAAAATGTTGTTTTATTTAAAAGTTTCCAGTTTCCAGGGTACAAAATATAAAGTCAGAGAGGTGGACACTTAAAATGACACATCTACTGATATGCATATGTCCTTGATGTCTCAGGTAATAGCTATGTTCTTCCTCATATGCTCTCTCCTAATAGTTAGCGGGGCATAAAAGGAATTCATCCCACATTCCCTGAAGTGTTGGCCTTAATGGGAGAGACAGAAAATTCTATACTTACACATATAGAAGAGTCAGATACTAATATAAGGTAGCACATAGCATAGTAATAAATGCAAGGAAGTATCTAAGGTATTGAGAGTACTTCTCAGAGGAGTTACATTCAACAATATTTATTCATATTAATAAAAGTATAATTGGCTGACAGACTTTTGCCATCAAAACCCATTTAAAACACAAAGTACTTTGGCTACATTGTGCAGATTGGTTCACTCACTGCCAACTCCACCTCCTCTTTAGTATATCTCCCTGTCCTTTAGAATCTGGAAAGCTAAGAAATTTCAGCATCCCTTCTGTATGTGACCTAAATTCCACAAGCAAAGCTAACATCTGACACAGTGAAAGACAAAGTCAACAACGTGAAGGGGCAGCATGGAGACTGACTCTTTGGAGGATGTGGAACGACACAGGTGTCATCATAGCATGGAAGTGACTGTGGGTTTTTGTTAACAAGAGTCCTGTTTTACTGAAAGCCTTTTCTCCTGCCTCTATCTTCTAGCCTACTAGAAATTCTGTAATAAACCCCTTTCTGCCTCATATAGCTACAGGAGACTAAGGCAACTGCAACTAAGAACTCTGAAAGGTATAATAGTTGGTATCAGAATGATTTCAGGTAAGACACCTGAAGGACATGGGGCTTGGAGTTGTTTATCTGATCTGCTGAGTTGAAGGTAGGGTAGAGTGGTTATCAGGATAGATTGGAATGGTGGTAATCTGTAACATCTACTGATGGAAGAATTATTAAAGTATTGCCTTTGGTTACTGGGAAAGATGCACCTATTAAAGGCAACAGCTATGCTTATGTGGGCCATGTTGATGGGTATGAAGAATATAGTGACAATAGGCCATGTGGTTGCTTCCAACTGAACTGAAGAGCACAGATCAAGAAAGTAATGGGGTCAGGTTTTAAATTCTGATTCA